GCGTTGTGCGTTCTGTGGGTGTTGACAAACGTAGGTCAACAGGCGGCACCAGCCCAGGGCCACAGAGCGAAGTTTCCTGCCCTAAAACCGGTCCGTGTTGTGCCTGACTTAGGAGACAGATCAACGCTGCATTAGAAAAACTGCTGTTTAAGCTTCAACAGTTAGTGAAGCAAAGTTCAATCCCCCTACTTCACATTCCGTTTTCCTCTGCAGTTACCAAGGAGAGGAGTCTGTGCTCGTGACCCAGGCTCAGTCTTTATGTCCCGCCTGTGGTTCTTCCTGCAGACTTCACAGCGGCTGTCATGGAAGCCTTTGCTGTCTGGTGTTATCCTCAGTCGTACATTTCTCCTGGCTTTATTTTCTCCACCAGTAAATTGGGGTCACATCTCAGAGTATGAGGATGATTCGGTGTATGATTCTTGTGAAACTGCTCTGTCTTCAACTCCACCCTGACCCATAGCCTTCTCCACCGCTATGTGTGCCAGCCCAGCCTTGCCAGCCCAGCCTTGCCAGCCCTCTGGCCCAATTCCTATGCCACTGCCTGCCCGTCTCTCCTCCTCCCTCACACCTGCCTGGCAGCAGAGTCATGAATACAAAGGCAAGCTCTGACCCTACCCACAATGTCTGTCACCAGTGCGCTGCAAAGGCCATCTCTCTCCTCACCCTCCCTTCCTCCTCCCCATGGCTGGCCCTCTGCAAATACAAACAGAAGGGTCCAACATGGGGTAGTGCTTGCTGGCCAGCTGTCTGGTGGCATCCGTCCTGACTGGGGCAAAGACAAGTCCTCACCCAGGACTGAGGCCTCATGTTGGCCAGCACCTGGGACCCTCTCTGGCTGTCACCCTGGCTGCGCTCCCTGTGACTTCTGCCACTTGGGTCTGCTGTCTGCTCACAAGAACCAAGGTAAAGCCTGCCTTAGGGGCACAACACCCTGCCCATTGACTTGGCTGTTCCAGGCAGGCAGGCAGGGAGCACTTCCGTCCACCCAACCCCTCAGCACTCACACCTCCCCTCCACCCCTCCCCTCGGCACTCACCCCTCCCCTCCGCCCGTCCCCTCGGCACTCACCCCTCCCCTCCACCCGTCCCCTCCGCACTCACCCCTCCCCTCCACCCGTCCCCTCCGCACTCACCCCTCCCCTCCACCCGTCCCCTCCGCACTCACCCCTCCCCTCCACCCGTCCCCTCCGCACTCACCCCTCCCCTCCACCCGTCCCCTCCGCACTCACCCCTCCCCTCCACCCGTCCCCTCCGCACTCACCCCTCCCCTCCACCCGTCCCCTCCGCACTCACCCCTCCCCTCCACCCGTCCCCTCCGCACTCACCCCTCCCCTCCACCCGTCCCCTCCGCACTCACCCCTCCCCTCCACCCGTCCCCTCCGCACTCACCCCTCCCCTCCACCCGTCCCCTCCGCACTCACCCCTCCCCTCCACCCGTCCCCTCCGCACTCACCCCTCCCCTCCACCCGTCCCCTCCGCACTCACCCCTCCCCTCCACCCGTCCCCTCCGCACTCACCCCTCCCCTCCACCCGTCCCCTCCGCACTCACCCCTCCCCTCCACCCGTCCCCTCCGCACTCACCCCTCCCCTCCACCCGTCCCCTCCGCACTCACCCCTCCCCTCCACCCGTCCCCTCCGCACTCACCCCTCCCCTCCACCCGTCCCCTCCGCACTCACCCCTCCCCTCCACCCGTCCCCTCCGCACTCACCCCTCCCCTCCACCCGTCCCCTCCGCACTCACCCCTCCCCTCCACCCGTCCCCTCCGCACTCACCCCTCCCCTCCACCCGTCCCCTCCGCACTCACCCCTCCCCTCCACCCGTCCCCTCCGCACTCACCCCTCCCCTCCACCCGTCCCCTCCGCACTCACCCCTCCCCTCCACCCGTCCCCTCCGCACTCACCCCTCCCCTCCACCCGTCCCCTCCGCACTCACCCCTCCCCTCCACCCGTCCCCTCCGCACTCACCCCTCCCCTCCACCCGTCCCCTCCGCACTCACCCCTCCCCTCCACCCGTCCCCTCCGCACTCACCCCTCCCCTCCACCCGTCCCCTCCGCACTCACCCCTCCCCTCCACCCGTCCCCTCCGCACTCACCCCTCCCCTCCACCCGTCCCCTCCGCACTCACCCCTCCCCTCCACCCGTCCCCTCCGCACTCACCCCTCCCCTCCACCCGTCCCCTCCGCACTCACCCCTCCCCTCCACCCGTCCCCTCCGCACTCACCCCTCCCCTCCACCCGTCCCCTCCGCACTCACCCCTCCCCTCCACCCGTCCCCTCCGCACTCACCCCTCCCCTCCACCCGTCCCCTCCGCACTCACCCCTCCCCTCCACCCGTCCCCTCCGCACTCACCCCTCCCCTCCACCCGTCCCCTCCGCACTCACCCCTCCCCTCCACCCGTCCCCTCCGCACTCACCCCTCCCCTCCACCCGTCCCCTCCGCACTCACCCCTCCCCTCCACCCGTCCCCTCCGCACTCACCGCTCCCCTCCGCCCGTCCCCTCGGCACTCACCCCTCCCCTCCGCCCGTCCCCTCGGCACTCACACCTCCTTCTCCCCATCACACCTGTGTTCTTATTTTTACATCTTTTTGCACTCCTTATCCCATCTCCTGGTTTTTTCTCTTTGATGTGTATGCCCTCCTAGCTTGGTCTGTGAGTTTACTTATGTTTCATACACCAATTATTTATGGCCGACTTGCTGTAACACTCAGTCTTGAACAATGACTGGATTTGATAGTGAAGATTGATTTTCTAATGAATTAGTGTTTCCTCTTTGTATAGTGCTTGCTATATCTCACTCTGTACATTTTTATCCTTAGGTTTTGTGAGAATATCGTGAAATTCAATTTAAACTACCCAGTTAATGCCCATTTTTGACACATAATTACGTGAGATTTTATAATGCTTGTAATGTCGTATTTGCCAACAAGCAGAGTAGCCGGTTTCACTTTTAGTTCATTCTGTCTGCTCGTTGATGCTAGGCTGATGCATGTGTCCTGACACTGTGATTGCACTTTACAGATTTACTATGTTCTTACTGCTGCCTGAGGGAAAATTCTCAATCTGTGCAGAGAGATAGAATGCCCCATTTGAGTCTCCCCAGAAGCCAGAAACTTTAGACCGGTCAGTTTAGCAGAGTGCACATGAGTTAAGAGCTGAGGAACCAAAAGCACTCAGGACCTGTAGAGGTTCAGGGAGCTCTAGTCAGCAGAGGGTCTACAGACCAGGCACAGGTGCAGATCAGGCAAACCGTCTGCCCCGCTGCAGACAGATTCCGGCCTCCTCTGAGAGATTTGCCTTACTGGACATGGTGCAAGGCGCTGGCTGAGACAGCTGAAACATGGCTGATGTACTCCTAGCTGCGATGCGGTGTGTTCTGTGTGAAGCGAGGCTTTGGTTCATTGTGCAGTAGCTCAAAGTATGGAGACAGCCATAGTCTGGTCACTGTTCAGGGATGTTCTGCTCAGCTTCTCAGCCTTGACAGTGTGACCCACATGATGCTCAGGCACTGACACCGTTCTCTCTCCATGCGCTCATTTCTTCTCAGTCCAGGATCCAACAGTCAGAGTCAGGCTGGTTAATGTTTCATGTGTTCTTTGTGTTGCTGTTGCTTTACCTGGACTGAGACCATTCGATGGGTAGTAGATGGCCAGACCCAAACATTGTGGTCTCCCGAGAGGACAGTGTTCCTATAGCAGAAGACTGCTATTTCCCCTGTCAGGAGAACTCCTCAGAACCATAACCAATTAAAATCACAAAACTCAATATCGGAACCAAAAGAGGAATCTACCTGTGTTAACCTGGGAGCATACAGGTTGATTTCTGTAACTGAGCTTCTACCATGACATGCTTAGCCAAGGTCAGCGAAAGAAGTTAGCTACTGCACACACTCACAAATCCAAGCAAGGAAGTAGCGTCCTTCCAAATGATGGCTGTCTGGAGAATTCTCTGCGTCCACAGAAGTTAAAGATGTAGACCAGTGGTTCCCACTTAGGTATGAAGAGACAACAGTGCTGCTGGTGTCCCTACCCTCCTGGGACACCTCATCCTTTAGGGGTCACTGGTAAGAAAGCAAGAGCCATGTTTAAATAACTCCACAATTTGGATCACTGCATAGTTAGAGGTAACTACAAATTAAATGATTAAGGTTATACATTTATCTGTAAATGATTCAATTATCTTACCTTTGGTTTTCCTCTTCACTTTCTGGCATAATTTAACTGAAAAACCCTTCCTGTAGGTTTTGCCTACTGTTAAATAAGCAATCTGATATGTGACTCCAAAACCCTCACCTTATGTAAAAACCCATAAATAATTTTACAAGTAGAGGGTAAACTAGAAGACCCGCTTCTGAGGGATTTCGGGTAGCACGACATATCCACTGTGGAAGCTATCAGTTATAAAATTATCACATTATTCTGCAAGGATAAACAGTATAAACAGGAAAGAGAAAAGGAATAAGGACTTCCAAGTGATGAGAGAGAGAGATCTCTGCCCCTGATCTTGGCACGCTAAGTACATCCTGGATGTCAGCAGTTCTGAGAATTCTCCCTGGTCAGTTGTACCTGGAGGTAGCACCCCCACATGTAGAGCCCTAAAGATCTTCAGGTGCTCTACAGAGTTAGGAGACGGGGCCACCTTGAGGCCTCGAGTTACTTACTGCAAAGCAGGTCGTAAGAGCTTGGCAAGGTGCCTTCTGGTAGAGTTCAAGGACTTTCATTTCCAGTGTCCTGTCCAGGTATGGAAGGCAAAAGATCCACTTGTCTTCAATTTCTTCTTTAATTTCTGAAAATATACTTTGAATAATATGTTAGCAGTGCAGTGGTTACTTGTATCAGAGTTTATAAGCAGAAGAGATATGAATTCTATTAGGGGAATTACATATCCATAAATATTATGTAATTACTCATAATCCACTGACTATTTAGAAGTGTGTTTTTTAGTTCCTACGTGTTTTCTTTTGCCTAGTAAATATTCATATGGGTTTAACTTGTGTTTTCTAGCAAAGGTGGAGCTGATTGGCCCAAGAGTCTCCACTGGCCTGGGTGACAATCCAGTCGACTGAGTTAGCTTCACCACCTTCAGATTTCAGTGCCATTTGTCTTCCCAGCCTTCTCAGATGACTGATGGTAGGGGCAAAGATCAAGCTGTTGTATCTAATTGCTTTGTAATTTGTCCTGCGACTTAAGTGCCTCTATTTTCAGAGATGTTTCAGGAAAACCCCATAAAGAAAGCTCACTTTTAATCTTTTAGCTACTGTTATAGCACCAGCTGCGAGCCATCAGAAACTCTTATGCAACCAGAGAGCATCTAAGTCATTAAAGATCATTTTGATATCCCATTGGGGTGATGACTGACTGAAATCCATCTGCCTTAAAATGCGGAAATATACCAGGGAGCTTTGTATTGTCTCACCAGAATTGTGAGTTGAGAAACTAAGCATTGGCTATAAAGCATTTCAGCCCTTTTAGATTGGTCACCACATTGATAATTTCTCCATAGTTTGTATCATTTCATTTGTCTCACCACAAGTCATGTAGTGTAGAGCTTTTAACGACAAAAGCTTTACAGACTCAGGAAGAACTGGGCAGCTGTCCAGGCTGCCCATGAGTCCATGCAGGACAATAAATTTCCACCCACTGAATACCAGTTAGCACAGATACTGGACAAGCGATAAGACATTTGATTGGGTCAACCTCAGAGGCTGTGTTAAGATTGTATATCTTAATAGTTTTAGCACCGGCTGACTGGGCCTGGAAATCTACCAAGATGTTTCCTCAGTTGTCAATCATTCTGGCTGTTTGATGTTGTGTTCACTTTATAATCTCTCATGGTTTGAGCCTAGGATGTCCCCCAAGGCCTGATGCACTCACCGGGGCTCTGAGAAGGAGGCAGAATCGTGGGCTGTAGCTGACTTGCTGTGGAAGTTGGGCCTGGTCAGCGGCGGAGCAGTATCCAGACCCAGATCATCTCTCTCCCTCCCGGCCTCTGCTCCTGGTCGTCATGGTGTGAGCGGCTTTCCTGGGCAGGGCCTTCCACTGTGAGGCTTCTGCCTTGAAGCCACCTGGCCTGTGAATGTGCCCAACTTCTCCTTTTGGTGCAGGTTACAGTGTCCCTGCAACAAGAATGAGAACGTAACTGAGACTTGACTCAATCATGTTCTTTGTTAAGTTTTGAGAATTCTGACCCAGTCCAATGGTGTAATCTTAAAGTTTCCAAGATCAGCACCTGTCAGTCTCCTCCATGAATTTTCTCAAAGAAGCACTGCCTTTTAGTTTATGGTTGCTTGGATTTGCTTTCCAGAAATTGCCAGAGAAAAATAATCATGGCCTGTGGGTGACAGACTTAAGAATAGATACAGTTAAAGATATGATGAGAGTTCATTATAATGTAAGTACTGAGGACATTCTGTTGTTTCTGTGTCACACACTGCCCTTAAGATAATAACCAGAATCATGACTGACTGAGGGCACCGTACTGGGTCTGTCCGGTTCCGCAAAATTCCTCCCATTATGAAGCACGGTTAACATACCCAAACAGTATAACCTAAAATTTAGCCTCCTTATTGGACAATGCCTCTTATGCAATATAGCATATCAAATAAGCCCAAGAAGTTTAACCTCTTGCTTTTTATACAGAGAACATATTTTTTTAGCTATCCCAGGAACCCATTTGGAAATTTTAAAAGTGAGGTTGAGGTCAGAAGGTCTTAATTTAGAATTTGATTTTGAGAAGTTGCCAAAATGTTTAAAATATTGTATTAAAATAGGATCACAGGCACTTTGAAATAATACTTATTAACCAGAATGATAATTAAAAGATCTCAAAAACAAATACAGAAAATTACTTAGAAAAAACTTGGCTCTTTCAATGCAGAGCTCCAGTTTGTAATACAAGTTCTAATGAAGCACAGGAAATCATCTTGACAAAGTACAGGATCTTTACTTGCTAGCCAGTCATCTAAAAGGTAAAGACAAACAATTCTTTACAATTTCTGTTTTGGATCATTCCCTTATTCAAACATTAATGCTCAATTTTTAGAAAAAATTCCCATCAAATCTTACCCAGCTGATTACACATAAAATCCCTTTCCAAAAATTACTTTTCCTTAAATCTTCTACAGCTTTCTTACATCTGTCACTTTTTGCCACATACTCTTTCTCATGTTGGAACAATCTACATAAAAACTTAGACATTTTCTGGGCCGGGATTTAGCTCAGTGGTTCTGCTGCCTGCCTCACAAGCTCTAGGACCTGAGTTCAATCCCTGGTACTAACAAAAAAAAAACTTAGACATTTTCTTTTAATAAAGCATGTGTTCTTATACCTTTCCTTACCATTATTATTTTCCTCGTAGACTTGCGTATAGAGTTGATTGCACTTTTATTTCTAGTCATCTTAGCAACACGTGCTCATTAGAATTAGTAACCCTCCATGACCTTAAATTCTAGCGCATGCTTTCCGCAGGTTGGCAAATCCAGGAACCATGTTTCTAGAAGCCCTTGCTTTTGTGGTGAAGCTTTCCAGTATGCACAGAACATATCTTCCAACTGTTCCAGCTTCTTCCATTTCTCTGATAAGAAGCTGCAGAGGAGGCGAACTTATCTCAACTTTTTTCTGGAGTTGGGAGGAGAGGGAGTCGGGGCTCTTACTTGTGAAGACCGATTTCACTCAGTTGCAGCTGTTCTTTCTCAATGTGCTAAACAATGTGCTAAAGCTGTAATACACCTTTCCTGGAGGAAGTCTGTGTTACCAAGATCTATTTAACTCGGTTGTTTTCAACGATTGTGCTTTGATTGCTCATGAAAGTGGGTAAATGTTAAAGAGCTAGCTGTCATCTTAAAGTATTATTTCTTGCTGACAAACTCTGAAACAGTTACATGTTTCACTAATAAACGTGGGTAGGAGACCTTATGCATCTGTGTTACATTTGATGCTAAAAAGTCAGGAAACAGGCCTGGGTTAATGGTTAATCAATCCAACATTTTAGCTAGCTTTTATTTACTGAAAATTATCTCAGCTCATGTGAGCTTCAAAAACATTTTGAGTTTTCTATCTCTATGTAAATGCTTGTATTTCTTCAAATCAATGAAGTAGAACTCTTTTACCACTTAACTTTCACATTACCATCTGGAGGTAGAAAAATACACGCAGAAACACAAACGTGTACAGAAACAGATCACACAGCTTTCACCTAGAATTCTAAGCCCTGGGCTTGACTCAATAATTTGAACTCATTAATCTTTTATAGAGTATCTGGAGCCAAAGTGTATTTTTGGCCAGTGCAGCAAAATTTCCCACATGGACGGTTTAGGCATTTCACTGATACTTGTGGAAAATATTTTTCAGATTTTTAAATTTGCCCAATTTCCAAACATCAACTCATATTTTCATCTGATAAGCCACAATCTCCGAAACGTGTGTGAGAGAGAGCACGGGTAGGAGAGCAGGCAGGGGAGAACATGGTAGGTAGTATGCACAGGACTTCAGGTTCCCTACCAGGCCTCCTCCGCTCCGTGCGCTGCTGCAGAGAGCGCCCCCTCCAGGCGGCCGGGAGACCCCTCCTTCCCCGCGGTGAGGGTGAGGCTTGCCCGTGCCTGCAACTGGCTCCTTCCTGCACGGCCTCTGGCAACCTCCTGCATCGGGAGAAGCCACCAAGGAGATCTCCCTTGCAGGTGTAAGCTTCTCCTACAAAAGCAAATGACAAGCAGAAACTATTCCACATTCCAGAAAGACGTATTAGGGAACTAATAACATGAAGCAAAGCTTCTTAGCCCAACTTGGGTGTTCTCACAGCCAGTGGGTGGCTGAGTCAGGAGGGCTGCTGGACACCTGTCCTCCACATGGCCCTTTCTAGTGGGGCTGTCACTTGGGCTGGCTCGTTGCCGTCAAGAATGAGGGCAGAGTAGCTACTCTGGGGTTATTTTTCCAGAAAATGGCCCGCATGTCAGTTGGGCAGGTTTGAACACAAAGACCTTCTGGACTTGATCTGAAATGCCCACCATGGTCCCCTTCCGAGACTGACTGGCTCTTGTCCTGGTGTCAGACCCTTGTGGGCTTCCACTCAGGACACAGCCTAGGCCAAAGGGTTTGGGGCCGTTACGTGGTGTCAGCAGGGACAACTGCTCCTCCACCAGCATCTCGGGGATCAGGGATCCTCATCTTGCTTTTGATGATATGAGGGTCCCTCTCAGCGCCTGATGCTCCTCTGTCTGTTAGGATTTGGGGCTCCTTTCCCGAGGAGAACCTCATGGTGATCACTGTTGCTCTCCGCATGTCCTTTGGTTCTGGTCTCAAAGCACTGGCCCTGATTCTGACAGATGAAGCCAGGGTAGCTCCAGGGGGAGGAGTTTGAGGTTCGCTGGACCCAGTCGAGTCCTTGAGTCCACTCCTAGTGCCTGACCGACTTTAGGCCTCCTTCTCTTCCCAGTGCAGCCAGTCCAGAGCCTAGTCCAGACCAAGAACTGTGCAAATCTAAGCAGGAACAAACCCAAGTCCTCTGGGAGAACGACAGTCCCAGCAGGCACCTACCTGGTGTGGTCACTCAGGCTCCCCGGGGTCACTGGAGAACGCCTCCTCCCATCCCGCTCCTGAGGCCTCACTGTAGAGAAAACAGATAAATCGGCAGAGTTTATTTGAGAAAAGAACAAATCAGTCCGCACTGGACCCGGAAGTGGGGCCACATGGCAGAGCTGGCCCTAACTGGCTTCAGGAGGCCCTGCCTTCCCTGGACCTGGGGAGAGGAGTGGCTGCAGCTCGGCTGTGTGCTGTACTCCAGGGGAGGCTGCGGCTCACTGTGTGAAGACTTGGGTTCTGTAGGCAGTTTCAAGCCAGCAGCTGCCTGAATCTGACAGGTTCCTGTAACACAGCAAGAACCAACAGAGCCGCCGTGGCCTCCTGAACCCACAGCAGCACCCAGGCACCTCCCCACGCCTCAGGCTATGGCGGCATTGGCCTAAGATACCCCCATCAGTCATGGTTTGCTTGTTTCTCTGGACTGAGGCGCGAACCCCGGCTCAGCAAGCTCCGCGCCCCTAGCCGCATCCTCCAACCCTTCCTGGCTTCATCTGCGGTAATCACCACCCGCTCCGTGCAGCGCTCTTCTCACACGCATGTGAGGACGGCCTCAGTGAAGGTTATCTCACGCTCAGAAATTAAACAGTAAAGCATGGTGGCAGAAATGCCAGGCTCTGAAAGCACCCACGTAGTCATCCAGGATCAGAAACACCTGGTGTATGTTTAAAGCATCACCCAGGAATTTCCATTAAATATCCTTCGCTGCTATGCTTCCTTCTGCTAAGCGTCTCAGAAGTTGCTGCTGACGAGGATCCATCCTCCAGGACAGGTCTCGGTCTTGCTAGGAAACTGCCCACCATCCACACGGAACCCAGATGCAAGGACACCCCGAACTGCGAAGCTGTTCCATGGATGTCCTGCTGTGCCATGAAAGTACCCAGTAGACGCCTTGGTTTGGTGAGTGGCTCCTGGCTGGCACAGCACAGTATCCGGCGGTACCAGCAGTGAGGCCTAACAGGATGCATTTGCAATGTAGAACAAGTGTGTGAGTTGGAGTAAACGCCAGAGGTTAAAAAGTGTTTAACGGCAGAACAACAGCTTGTTCCCTGTACCGAAATGCTGCTCCACATGTTCGAATCCTCCCCAAACCAGGCTCTCTTTCACTCCCATGTGTAGCAGCCAGGAAGAGCGCAAATCCTACATCGCAGGACCATGCACACGGCCCGCAAAGACTTGTTGGCCCACTGTACCTGTAACAACTATTATACCCGATTATCCAACAGGGACTCCATAGACACAGCTCCCTGAAGGTAATAGAATGCTAATCACTCAGAGTGTCTTTTGTTTGCCCTCACATGCTGTGGCTAAGATAGCAAATAAAATGACATACCCATTTAA